AGCACTAGTCTTGAACTGAAGAGCTGAGGGACAGTGCCCAGGCTCAGAGTTCAGGCCCCACTACTGACCAAAAAAAAAAAAAAAATCTTCTTTTTCTTAGTGGTATTGAACTCACAAACTTTCCCTGGTAAGGCAATAATTCTACCATTTCAGCCTCACCCCTATTTTGTTTTTTGATATGGGATCTCATTATCCCTGAATACAGGAGTAAAAGTACAGAGTGAATTAGGTCCTAAAAGTCTTTCATTTATATAAATTTAGAGAACTTAGGTTAAACTTGTATCCAAAGAGCTCTCTGTTCTCCTTTCTCTTTCATTCTTTTTTTCTCTCCCTGCCCCCCTCCACCCCTTTTATTCCTCTACCCACTTTCTTTCTCTTTTTAAGATAGGGTCTCACTATAGCTTAGGCCAGTCTTGAAATTATACCCTTCTTGCCTCAGCCTTCCAAGTGTTGGTATTATAGGCATGCACCCCCCACACCCATTAATTAATTAATGTATTTAGTTGGTCATGGGCCTTGAACTAAGAGCCTGAGCACTATTCCTATGCTATTCAAGATTAGCACTCTACCACTTTGAGCCATGATGCTGGTTTTCTGGTGGTTAATTGGAGATAAGAGTTTCAGAGGCCCTCTTGACTGACCTGGTTTTGAATCACAATCCTCAGAGCTCAGCCTCCTGCATAGCTAGAATTATAGGCGTGAGCCACCAGCACCCAGCCTTTTAGTTATTTTTAATTACTTAAATTAATTTTATTATTGTTATTATTAGTTAAGTTTTTTGCTTTTGGTGGTAATAGCCTTATGCTTACTCTGCAGGTACTCTACCACTTGAGCCACATCTCCATCTCTAATATTGTTTTTCTAAGTCAGGGTCTTACCATGTGGTCCAGGCTGGCCTCAAACTTTGCATGTATCTGGAATACAGTCACATATCACAACATCCAGATGTAAGGAGCTGCCTTTTAACAGAATGCACTGATTTTGTATGGGCTAGAAAATAAACTGATGGAATGGCAATATAAATTAACATGGCGATATATATTAACAATAGAGCTCAAGAGTTCAACAGACAGTTAATAAGCCAGCTGTTCAGAACAGAAGTACCTACGGATATTTCTGTTTCTAAAGATTTGGGTCAGGCATACCCAGTCATGTCGTTCAGAGTAATAGAGGACTCTGTTCAGCCCATAGCTGATATTTTAGGTTACTTATTTGAAATTAAGTCAAATCAATTCACTTATAGAATTTCTATTTATTTAGAACCCAGAAGAAAAATAAATGCAGCCTGCCTATTTTGCATTAACACACAAAGTACATTCTTTCCAGTGTCATGCATTGAGCTGTCACCCTCATATCTTCTCATTTAATATTCACACCATACTTTTAGCCTGGGTCGTATCTTCACCTTATAAAAGAAAAACTAAGACACAAAAGGTTAAGGAGCTTGCTTCAGGTCAGTTGGCAAATGGGTTGTGCAGCAAGGTTTAATCCAGGGAAGGCCCTGCTCGACAATTTGGACTTCATAATATAGATATAGATTCTGTAGATTTGCATAGGTTTCATACTAGAGAATTCCTTAATGAAAATAGATGGAAGAAGCACTGTATGGTGGCACTGTACAGAAGGCAGAGATAGGGAAAAATGGGACTGCAGAGAAGTGGGAAAGGTTGTGAGGGCAATCCAGACCCTGTAGAAGTAGTGCCAGAGTTTGGAAGCAGAAGACATGGTTCTAGCCTTGTTCGTGTCATGCTGCTGCTGGGTAATCTCCAGCAAGTTCCTAAAGCTTTGCTACTTCTTTTTAAAAAGGGGCCTGAGCTAGGAATGTGGCTTAGTGGTACAGTGCTTGCCTAGCATACATGAAGCCCTGGGTTCAATTTCTCAGTACCTCATAAACAGGAAAAAAAAAATAAAGCCATAATTGGCACTGTGGCTCAAATGGTAGAGTACTATCCTTGAGCAAAAAGAAGCTCAGGGACAGTGCCCAGGCCCTGAGTTCAAGCCCCAGGACTGGCAAAAAATTAAAATTAAAAAAGGGGCCTATTAATTTAATCTACAAAATCTTTAGATTCTTTCAAACTCTGGAATTCAGACTGAAGCCTTTAAATTCTAATGCATTGCAGAAATTTACATACAAAGACTCTAAATATCATCCAGAATCCAGAGGAGCATTTAGATGTACTTATTTTCAACATAATCATCAACTCAAAGTACAATGGAATAGAATTGTTTTTAAGAATGTCTTCTAAACCAGATTATATTGAGACAAGCCAATAATTTTTCCATCTTTCTGTATTCTGTTTAAGAAAATGATCTGGATATTGTTCAGCAGCAGTGGCTAATGACAATATCAAATAAGGATATTACTTTTCAAACAAATGAGATGATTTAAAATCTAAGAAAGTTTATGAAAATATACACAATTCACATTGTCACCAAATTAATTTATTTCCTAAGCTCAAATCTAATATAAAAGGAGATTTTTTTTAACAGCTTCAGTGAACAGACTGTAAAGGGATTTAGGACAGGGAGCATAGGAAATAAATATGGTAATTCACAAACAAATAATGAACACAAGGGTTATTCTATTGCCTGTGATACTTTTAGGATGTATTTTGAACACCTTGGCTCTTGCTGGTGTGAAGCCAGGCTCACCTCTGGCTTCCACCCCTGAAAACTTTTCTCCATCTCTGTGTCTTATTACTAACCCAATACCAAGACCTGCAAGCAAGTCTTTCCTCAGTGTTTCTCATAATCGACCTTCCTTCTCACTGACATGGGGTGGGGTTTCCATTCTCATCTGGCTAAAAGGGTCTTTTCCTTAAAATAACCCACAGGGCAAGGCATTTTCCAGAAATAAAGCCTTCACCAAGCTATTTGTTATTAAAGCTTCAGGGAGCCCTTTGCTTACATGATGAAATCTACATACTGCAGTGGAGCGCTCCATTGTTTCAGCCAGGCAAATGCATTAGCTTTCTTTACAGACGTTAATCCTCCACATCCGAGATTCTGCGGCTTGAAATCCTTTGCTTCTTTCTTCTCTCTGCCAATTCATGGCTGTTACCTCCTTTCATTCGGTTTTGGAAACACTTCCTTCGGGATGTTTTCCTTTAGTAGCTATTTAGCAGATAAACAACTCTTGCTTTTATTTTTTATTTTTTTGAGCTTTTAATCACATTAAGTGCTTTCAAGATAAATTATCCAGGTCTAGGGATAAATAACTTACAAAGATTTTCATTAAGAGCCACCCAGAGTGACTTTGTCAGAGACAGCACTCCAATTGCCAGGCGTCTGCCTCTATTTTTTTTTTTTTTAACTAAAGAATTCATACTAAACCAGGACAAAAGCCACTCTTTATGGTGACCTCTAGTGGGCACGCGACGATCCTACACAATCAGGAAAAGTGGAGGAGTAAAGTAAAATCCTTCCCAGTAACCAGCCTGGTTACTCGGTTGGACAGATGACCCGCAACCCACTCCACCCTTCTTCTTTCTTTTAGGATTTATTTTGTATGTAATAGTTTACTTTATAACTTACCTGGTTCCCCTCCGGCGGGCTGGGCTGCAGGTGTGTCGGATGCTCGTGAATGATCCCAGCTGTGAATGGAACCCACTCCCTGGACATCCTGCCAGAGCCCAGGGGAGTTCGCTCCGTGGAGGTTTAAGGGGCTCTTCACCCTCCAGATACTATGCAGCCTATGCTGCAGCCGGATCGGGGGTGCACGGATATGGGGATAGCCAGAGACACCATGAAGAGGTTGCTAATGAAAGCACCAAGGAATTCTGGAGGAGGGGGCTGCCAGGGCAAAGGCGATGCTCCCCAGATTTTCACCCCACTCCCTAGGAAATGTCACGAACGAGTCCAGGCGCGATACACATAGGCGCCTTCTTAGGACTAGAACCCCGGGGCAAAGCGGGGGGCCGGGCGCTCGAGCACCGCGCCGGGGGCTGGGTGCACGGCTGCCCTCGGAGCGCGCGCGCTGCCGCACGTGGGGCTCCCCGCGCGGGGAGAAGGAAGCGCAAGTCAGCAGGAAAAGCCCCAGCTCGGGGTGCCTTCTCTGGAGACATCATTTGGGGAGGACTCTGAAGCCGGAGGGTACGGACTGTTTCTGGAAAAAGCTTTCCAAACCCCAATCCTCACCTCTGCACTACTCCTTAGCCTCGGGTTTCCACCCTTCGGGGAGAGAGGGTTGTCAAAAGGACCTGGGGTTGGGGTGAGGGGGGGTACCCTAGTCATCCCGACGGGCCGGGGCGACATGAGGCAGGGGACGCCCGGGCGGCGGGGCTTGACTTCCCACCTCGCATCGCTGCCTAGCGGACCCCTCCTGGCCGGTGCGGGCGGGAGCGCACGGCGTCACGAGGCGGGGAGCCCGAGGTCCAGGGCGGGGCGCTGGGGAATCCCAGCCCGAGCGAGCCCGGGAGGTGCGGGAAGGCGGGCGCGGGCGGGCGGGCGGAGGGAGGTGAGCGCGCCGAGCGGGCAGGCGAGGAGGAGGACGGCGAGGGAGGCCCCGCCCCCGCCGCCCCGAGCCGGCTCCTCGCCGCCGCCGAGCTCGTTCACTTTGCCTCTCGTCTCTGGACGGCGGCGGGGCGGTTGCCTGAGCCGCTGCCGGAGGGAGCTCCGCGGGGGAACCGGAGCCTTCCCACGGCGTCTCCCCCGCTTCGGTGCCCGCGCCTCTCCGGGGAGGTCGGCGCCACCGCCGTGGAGAGGACAAGCCGGGCCTCGGAGGGGGCGACCCCCGGGCGCGAGGGGC